TCGACGAGATAAATTAAAATGAAATAATTAATAATCAAAATAGTATTTAATATTTATAATAAATCTCCACAAATAATATTTATAATAATTACACAAAATGGCACATAAATTCATTTAGGCAATTAAACAAATAACAATTAATATTAATGGCAATAATAATAATAATAATAATAATAACAATAATAATAATAATAATAATAATAATAATAATAATAATAATAATAATAATAATAATAATAATAATAATAAAATCTAATTTATTCATAAACGAATGGGGCGTTACAGTCTACCCACCTTACAAAGAATTCTGACCTCGGAATTCGAATACAAAAGGAACTAACGAACTAACAGAATACACATACCCCCAAAACGATAAGTTAGGGAATCTCCCCCTAATCTCGGCATCCATCTCTCAAGTCGTCCCGAACTCGTCATGTCAGCCCCCCCAGCACCTTCCCAAGGATCACTGCCCAGTTCCTCAGCCGATAGACACCCTGGTCCAAAATGGCCACCTGTACCTTCTCATAGGTAAGGTCTCGCTCGACCCACAGTTCGCCGAAGTCCACCACGTAATCCGGGTCATGTACATCTCTACGCAACATCGAGACATAAACACAACATGCACCCCTGGTAAATCTGGTAATAAAGCTAGCCGATAATCCAAGTCAACGACTTGAGTAAGGATCTCAAAGGACTCACTGCACACGACAGCGGATCCTCATTACCCCAAACCGAGGTCTATCACACCTCTAGCCATACGAAAGGGGAAACCTGAACGGTACCATCCAGATACCCGTTCAAAACACAAAACGGCTCACTCAAGGTGAGAAATCACAAAAACACATCACACAACATGCGCACACGACCTCAACAAGACTCATAGTGCCTTGACCGTGATATTATCGGTCAACAATCGTGGTCGATACGTGGAGTTGAGTTTTAGCATGGTGCCCGGGTCACGCCAAAAACTTACCCACAATCTCGACACACTCGTGACCTCTTGCCGAAGCAATTGTCACGGTAAATGTGCAACCATGCACGCAATATAGCCTCGGTATACTCATACTCACAACACACGATTCTACGATACAAACGTAGCCCCTCTTGGCTCCGTTTGCTGACAACACAAATCTCCTATTTCGCCAACTCGAGGAATCCTCGCATGTGGCATAGAAAACTAATCAACAAGCCTCATACACCGGGGATTGTTGATTAGGGAATACCCACAACGACTCAAAAGATTAACATACACTTTAACCAAAAATCTGGTTCAAAGACCTCAAAAAGGACAAGGTCGGACTGGGTCTAATGCACTGTCACCCGAGAGGTGACACACACGCTGGCGCTGCATATGCGGGGCGCTGGTACGCGTGCATGTACCCACTCGGATACCAGCTACAAGGTCAAGGTTTGTCCGTACGCACTGACTTGGGGAGTTTGGCGTTCGGTGATGGCGGCGGCAGCCCTCGTGCGAGGCGACGATCGGCCACTGCAGTTGGCCTCACGTTTCTCAGCACGGGCGTGCAGGCTCAGCCACCACTTCGCGTGGCTACACCCAGTCAGGTTCGGCACTCGGTTCGAGGCACGTACCAGAAATTTCAATTTTCGAAATTCACAATTTCTTAAGTATTCCGACAGGACAAAGGGTTTGACAACAACAATTTCCCCAAAACGAATCGAACATTGGCATCACTGCCAAGAAAAATTCTAACTCGGCGGTCAACGTCGAACAACAGCATGGTTAGCTCGTTTGACTCTTCCGACTAACAATGTCGGCCGCCACGACAGCTTTTACTCAGGTAGCTAATCGTGTCGGCAGTCCTAAATGAGTTCAACCTCACATACCGCCTATAGTTCTC